GCGCCATCAAATCAATTCTGACTTATAGTGGCCTCTTTTCAGAGTTTTCCAGTTAGAGTACTCAGAAATGAGTTCACCATTCCTTTCTTCTGGGGGCATCCTGGGACTGTGCAGTTTGTCCAAGATCACACAGGTTGGCTATACAGTGGTGCCTCGCTTTACAATTGCCCCGAATTACGAGGAAACCGCTTAACGACAATCTTTTTGCGATCGCAATTGCAATAGCAAAACGATGGTCTGAATGGGGGAATTTCGCTTTGCGATGATCGGTCCCCTGCTTTGGGAACCGATTCTTCGCAAAACGACATTTTTTGAACAGCTGATCGGCGGTTTCAAAACGGCCGCCGGGTGATTAAAATGGCTCCCCGCTGTGTTTAGAGGGATGGATTCCAGCGCTATACAGGCACCGTATGGAGAACCTTCGCTGGACGGTGAGTTTTTACCCCACTGGAAAGCATTGAATGGGTTTCAATGCATTTCAAAGGGGTTTTTATTTTCGCTTTATGTTTTCGCTTAACGGCGATTTTCCTGGAACGGATGATGATCGTTAAGCGAGGCACCCACTGTATTCCCTGGAGGCTGAGCGGGAAACTGAACTCCCAACTCACTGAGCTATCCAGCCAGCCTACAGAAAGTAAGATCAAGTAAAAAGGACCTTGGAGCAGTACAATATCACAAGCCAAACAACACTGTGTGCGGTGAACAATGCATACTATCACACTAGTGCAGTTGTACAACTCAATGCAGCTGCAGCTGCAATATTTAACTTCTCCGTTTTAAATCATTTTGTAGATGTAAAATGGTACAAAGCTTCACTACAGTTTGGCTCAGGCAGCCACATCCATCTGGCCTTGCTCCTACCAACAGTCTGCAAATATTCTCAGAATAAGCACGTACATCATGGAAACAAGAAGGCAAAGTTAAAGCATGTTCTTCTTAACTATCACCTACCACTAAAGTTACATTCAACATTCGAAGATCCCTACTTACGGAAATTTCGAGGTACGAAAAGCTCCGGCTGCAAGTCGAACTAAAATTTTGCAGCCTAGGAAAGGCAGGGGGAAAGGGCGGGAGATTCAAAGCCGCCCCCCTGCCCTCTTGTCTCCTGTCCCTGGTGCCCTCTGCCTCCTGTGGAGGGGATGTGGACAGGAGGCAGAAGGCATCGGGGACAGGAGACAAGAGGGCAGCGGGTGCAACTTTCGAAGCCCAGCAAGCCAAAAGCCGGCAACGGGCGCAGATGTCGGGGCAGAAGGCAGCAGGTGCAGCTTTCGAAGCCCGAGATTTTTTTTTCCTTTGGCTAGAATGGATTAGAGGGTTTTCAGTGCATTCCTATGGGAAATGGACCCTCGATCTATGGACTTTTCGGCCTGCGGTTACCGTTCCAGTACGGATTAATTCCGTAAGTCGAGGGTCCACTGTACCATTGTGGACAGGGACCCTCGATCTATGGACTTTTCGGCCTGCGGTTACCGTTCCAATACGGATTACAGTGGTGCCTCGCTTAACGTTTGCTTCGTTTAACGTTTTTTTCGCTTAACGTTTATTTTTTCAGAGGCAGATTGTGCTTCGTATAACGTTTTTCCCTATGGGTGATTTTCGCATAGCGTTTTTGGGACCATGCTTCGCTTAACGTTTTTGGTTTTAGGTCCCCTGCTTCGCTTAACGTTTTTTTTGTTTTCAATTTAAAAAGTGTCTTAGAAGGGTCCAAAACGGTTCTAAATGCTTGGATTCGTTAGAGGACCCCCTAGGTCATGTGCAAACCTGATTTGGCTTTGATCTGACGTTTCGTTAATTTTTTGTGAATTTTTGTTTTTTGGCCCATAGGAACCAATGGACCTGTCAAAATCTGACAGCTCCATGCTTTCCCTTGGGGGAGGAAACAATTTACAAAAAATTAACGAAAGTTCAGATCAAAGCCAAATCAGGTTTGCACACAACTTAGGGGGTCCTCTAACGAACCCAAGAATTTAGAACAGTTGCTGAGTCTTCATTAATTTTTTGTGAATTTTTTCTTCCCCCATAGGAAATAATGGAGCTGTCAGATTTTGACAGCTGTCAAAAGTTGGGGGGAAAAAATTCACCATTAATTAACGAAAAGTCAGATCAAAGCCAAATTAACTTTTGCATCCGTTTTAGAGGGTGCAGAAGCTAATCCAAGCATTTAAAACCATTTTTGACCCTTTTATGACACACTTAATTTTGCAAAAATTGACTTCGCAAAGCCATTGAAATGTATTGAGTCAGCTTCAATACATTCCAATGGAGGAAACATTGTATCGTATAACGATGTTTCCTATGGGTTTTTTCGCTTAAGGACGGCAATCCATGCCTATTGGAACGGATTAACCGGTTTCCAATGCATTCCTATGGAAAATGGTGTTTCGCATAACGATGTTTCACATAACGTTTTTTTTTTGGAACCAATTAAAATTGTTATGCGAGGCACCACTGTACTGTGGAGCAGGCTTCCTGAAGATAAAACCTCATCATACAATGGCCAAAATCACGTTGCTTAGCGCTAGAGCAAACCAACTAAATCAATGGGGATTTGGTCAATCTTCTGTAAGTTCCACTGATTCAAATGGGCTTGTTGTTGTTTAGTTGTTCAGTCGTGTCTGACTCTTCGTGACCCGATGGACCAGAGCATGCTAGGCCGTCCTGTCTTCCACTGCCTCCCAGAGTTGGGTCAAATTCATGTTGGTAGCTTCAGTGACACTGTCCAGCTATCTCATCCTCTGTCGTCCCCTGCTCCTCTTGCCACACTTTCCCAACATCAGGGTCAAATGGGATTACTCTTAGCTTTTAGCACAGTAAACTGCAGTTAGAGTAGGCCTATTTGAATTAATTGAACTATGGAGGAGATGATTCAAGGTGTCTACTCTACTGCAATTTTGATGTTTTTTGATCTCACAAGTACTACAGAACTCTTCCTGTCATATACCCAGCAGCATTGCTGTCATTTCAGCCTTCAGATTAACTTTATTCTTGAATTATAAATAATGCCATTTCATGGCATCTATGACAACATGTATCTTCACTGTAGCTCCACATTTATGAAGAGTAAAAACAGCCTTCATAATTTTTTTGCACAAAACTGATCTAGTTACCAGCTCCTCTCAATATCTTTCTCAGACTTTCAGACAGAATTTCACTTTGAACTACAAGCATTAAAAATCAGCATCCATAACAGAGTAACATCTAAAACATCAAAATATATGTACCAGTATTTTATTCATGGAATATGACTACAGAGATATCCTACAAAGATGTTTACTGCTACAAGGATGCTTCCAATATAGTAAAACCTAGTACAGTGGTGCCTCGCTTAACGATTGCTTCGTACAACGAAAAATTAACTTAACAATGGCTTTTTCAGAGCAATCTTGTGCTTCACTTAACGATTTTCCCTATGGGCGATTTTCGCTTAACGATTTCGGGACCATGCTTCACTTATCGATGACAGTTTTAGGTCCCCTTGTTTCGCTTAACGTTTTTTTTTACAGCCCCGTTTTTGCTATTTTTAAAATATTCTAAAATGTTTAAAAAATGTTTACAATGCTTGGAATCATTAGTGCACCTAATAAAACTTTCGTTAACTTAATTTGGCTTTGTTCTGAGTCTTTTTGAATTTTTGTGTGAATTTTTTCCCCCACTGAAATAGGCTTCAATGCATTTCAATGGGTTTCGCTTAACGTTTTTCCTATGGGGTTTTTCGCTTAAAGATGGTAATCCGTTCCAATTGGAACGGATTATCCGGTTTTCAATGCATCTCTATGGGAAATGGTGTTTCGCTTAACAATGTTTTCACAAGCGATTTTTTTTGGAACCAATTAAAATCGTTAAGCGAGGCACCACTGTATTAATCTTCCCATTACAGTTCCTCTATCCTTAGATAAGAACACATCTTGCTGTCTAATATGATGAATAAAATACCCTGTTTCTCCAAAAATAAGACCTAACCTGAAAATAAGCCCTCGTATGATTTTTCAGGATGCTCGTAATATGTCCTAACCCAAAAATAAGCCCTAGTTAAGTGAAATCCCCCCCCACCATTGTGCAGCAACCAGAAGAAGATGACATCACTGTATTTAAATAAATGTAGATTGTTGTACATGAAAAAAAAAATCCCCTGAAAATAAGCCCTAATGCGTTTTTTTTGGAGCAAAAATTAATAAGACCCTGTCTTATTTTCTGGGAAACACGGTATTATTAAGAAAACTATCATATATCACATATGTAAAAACAACCAAGGTTCTCATAGAATTTTAAAGATTAATTACTGTTCATAACAGTAGTCCATTTTTTAAAATGCATGATCAAGCTTGGAGGAAAAAACCCTGAACTTGACAACATTTTATTTTGCACACAATAGCTAAAATCCTGTTGGTTAGCATAATAGAATTTGTGACTTTCACTCTGTTCCTAACGAACAAATAAAGAGTCCCCACCACCACACTTCTGCGATGCACATACATGATGGCTTGGTGTGAGTGCATTCATCTCCAAGAATCAAGGTGAGGACTCTATTTGCTGGTTAGGAACAGGCAGAAAGTTACACAGTTTCTTATCCTAAGCCCATTATGTTGAGACACACTTAAACTTCGAGATAGATACTGCTCAGGATCCAAAAAGACATTTGACCAAGGGAACTTTGGGCATGTCCTTCCAACTTAGCCCCCTATATTAAGTGCAGCACTATTTCAAGTGCAATCTGTGATATGGCACAGATTTTTCCATCAAAGTTTGTTTTAAAATCTCCCATGGGGTATGTGCAAGCTCTTGGGCATATATGAAGTAGCTCTTTGGATTCAGGCCAGTGACAATAAGATTGAGCAAGCCTTTTGCTCATGAAATATGGCTAAGTCTCAAGTGTACATTTGTTCTCTTTTGCCTTCCAGTCTTGATGTCACCTATGTGACACCCATTTCCAGAAGCACTCACTCTCCTTTCAGTGGAAAACAAGGGACATTAAATACTGATTTGAGTTAAGAAATAAAGACCTTAAGTGCAGGCTTTGCTGGAACATCTCCATTCTCTGTGATTTCGAAGTCCAATATACCATCATCCTTCTGACCAATGTCTTTGAGACCTTGAAGAAGTATTTCTCGTAACTTCTGGTATGGTGGCTTTTCAGTATAGGACAAAACCATTACTCTCTCCATATATCTGGCTATTTCATCTAGAGGAAACAATTAGAAGTCCTAGTTGATTGGTGCATTAAACACATGACAAACCCATAGTTATGGATTTAGAAACACATATAAAACACATGTGCAACCAAATATTCACAGCTGTGATACACGATATAGTCAAGTGAAAATCATTTCAGCATTTTAATAAACAAGCATTATAAACAAATGCTTAAATGTGCAGAAACCTTTTAGGTATTTGGAACTATGCTTTCAGAGTAGTTATGAAATCACTGTCCTGCAGTGCTATAAGCTTATTCCAATGGACTGGAGTCAAACAAAAGCGAACAAAAGGCAGCAGGTAGAAAGAACTTTCCTTGCCTCTTTGCATTCCCCCAGCATCCTACCAAAAAGTACTCCAGGTTCCATAAGGAGGAGGTTGTAGAGCAGGAGGATCACCCTATCCTATCCAGCAAAGTCCATGCCTCTGAAGAGGCTTCATAGGGAACTAAGGAGTCCCTCTCAACATGAACTCCTAGCAGTGTGTACCTGAATCCAGCCCAACAAGTAAAAGCCTGAACCGGTCACAGTTTCCAGGCTCATTCAACACATTCAGGATTTTTTAAACTTCTCAGAAATAACACTGCTAGTTGGTTTTAGAAGCATAACCCCAATATTAGAAATCTCGAAAGAAACTGAAATAGTTCATGATCTGAAAATCAGATGTATTATAATATCTGTTACAACTAGCTAATCTGATCATAGTTCAGATTCCACTAAAACCAATATGAAAATTCAGCGGTCTAAACTAAATGTACTAATCCTAAATGTACAGGCATAAATTTCCACTGGCAGAAGCCAAAAGTGCCACTATCCGGTGCTGGTGAATTAAATTTAAATTGGAAACTTCGTATTATTCCCTCCCCCAAATGCTTATTTTCGATACTCCCTGAGGCTCCCTTTTGCCCTGGGGAAATCTTTGTAAGCCTTGGGGTGGGGGAGTTAATAGCCAAAAGTGACCATCAGACTGTTACCAACAGTTTTGATCCCAATGAAGGATTTTGCCCAATGAAATTTTAATTAACATTGATTTACTATGAGTTCAAAAGATATACTCTACTTGAGACCAAAAAGTGCATTTACGCCTATGTCACTTTAATGGCAGCAACTTTCACAACTTTTGCATCTTTTTGTGTGTGAAATAAGCAACAGTACTTTCTTACAAGGTAATTTTCTTTACCTCCCCTCATAGATTTATGAGAGCTACCCTTACATATGTGCTGTGCCGGGGGGGGGGGATGAAAATATACAAAGTACAATCCACCTATTTCCCCTGAAATAGGGGACAGTGAACAGTGTCAAGCAGAAGGGATTTTTCTTCTGTCCTGCATGTCCATTAGATCTGCATCTGTGGTGCAGATATGAACAGCACATGAAGGATGCAAAAAGGCAAGAGGAGTTCTGTAGCATGAATATTAAACATGTTATTGGAGAGTCAGTTCATATCTGCTTGAAAAATGCATGCCAGAGCCTCCAAATGTAGAGAAATGTTAGCCAGTTTTTAACTTTAACAAAAAAAGCCGTCACATGTATACTTTATATTTCTTTTTAAAAACACATCAAAATAAATATATGGGATATTTCATTTGAGACCTCTTACTTACTTGGTTCATCTTTTTTTGTGAAACACTCAGACATCAGCTGTTCAATGTTATCTGTATACCTGACCAAAAAGAAAAGAAAAATCAACAAATATCTTATTTGCGACATTTTGACCCCTTTCAAATATGTATCAACTGTTTATTGCCAAGTGATCAGAATCAAAATGAGATCAATCCCTTATACTTGAAAATTACATTTTAATAGGAAAAACAGATTTCATTGCATAGTGTAATAAAAGCTCATTTAATACTACAAATTCAAAATAAAGACAATCAATATTTTGGATGCATGGAAATATTTTGTTGAATATATTGCTATATCATGAAATTTCAGGACAAATATGTAAATGTACCAAGTTGGAACTTAACTATAGCTACCTAAATGCGTAAGAAAACAATGATAACATAATCATAAAGTGACTCAGGATTCTGTAGCAGATGAAGAAGATAAAGTAGATTCGATTCAGTAATCTGTGAATGTGATAAAGATTTAATAGTGTAACACCTCAGACAGAAGCCGTTCCATCCGTGGAACAGGGGGAATATAGATGACACACTCATTACCACCACCCTGAAAGCCATTTACATGCTCAAATCTGCTCTGGATGACCAAGACATTTTTCAGAGCAGATTTATAGGAAAGAATGAAAAGGCTGCAGCATGGAATAGAGAAGGAGAAGAACCCAATGGCCAAGTGGAATGCAACCAATTGAACATTCTGGGTAAAAGATCTAAATTACGAGTATTGACTCACCGCTCGATAACTTCTATACCACCCACCTGGCTACAAGGCCACTATGAGCAGATTACGCTCAACTGAACCATGACACATTAAAATACAAAACATCATCAAACAAATCAAATCAAAAATTACAACATTCAATAGCATATAAAAGATACTTACTGTATAAATTATAAATAAATAGATCATTTGCAGCGGGGAGGAAAAGAGAGCCTCTTGTGGGACTGTAAAGACTAGCACATTTTAAATGGCCTACATTTTTTGTGGCCAACATCCACTAACAGAATGGGCCACAGTCATGAAAGCTTATGGCACAGAAACCTTGTTAGACCTTAAGGTGCAAAAAGCTTCTTAGTTTAGTGCAACATTAGACCCTGTTCAGATGTTATGTTTTGAGCAGAGGAATACAGCTCTGATTATTGGTCCCTGGGTGCTTTAGCACAGCTCATCCTACAAAAGATCTGAGCATGAATTTAATGAAGTATGATTGTTTTGGTCGTATCAGAATTCTGTTGCAAGCTGATGCAAGGCAAAAAAAATGCATGAGAATGTGGGCCAGATACTTGTTCCACCTTTAATCTTTTTGGTTGTTTCATGCTCAATTTGTTCACCAGTTTTCAACTCTGCAGAACAGAAAATATTCACCTCTTCCTGTAGTGCTTTGGCAGTGCTATTCCATAACAAACAATTGCATGCTTTAAATACAGATTCTACATCCAGTGAGGTATGTAGTGGAAAACACAATGATATCATTTCTGGGGGACTGTCAAATCCTGACTGTGTATCATTCAATAAATGTGATTTATAGGAAGAGGGCTTGAAATGTTGCTTTCACCCAGGCATCTACATTTAGATGAAAGGCTTAGAACACAACGAGCGTTGTTTCTGAAATTAAAAATGGCAATTTACCTGATTTTGGAGTCTCTGACATAAATAGGGTCTTTCAAGTTGTCTTCCCAAGGGAGTCTCCCACTAAGCCAACAAACCATACAATAACCCAAAATTTCCAAGTCACCACGCCTGGATGGAGCTACAAACAAAAGACAATATTAAATTCACAAAAAAATATTCCAGAAGGAACCACTGGTGTCATTGGTGCAAAAATATTTTGCATGGTATTATTGGTCTTTGGTCCATATATAATCAAAGAATAGTATCTACTAAAATATGGAACAAGTGTAAAGATGGGCATAAACTGCTGGTTTTTGGTTCGTTTATTGGCTAAACAACTGTTTGGTACTTCAAAGCCCTGCCTTCTCCAGTGGGCATCCACTCAGAGTTAGCGCCCAGAGGCAAGGCAAGGAAGTCATACTATTGCTTCCAGTGGACGCCCGCCAGAGAAGGCAGGGTTCCAAACACCTGTTTGGCTGATAAACGAACTGGCACAAACCATCAAGCTGGTGGTTTGTGCCCATCTCTAAACATGACTCTAGTGCCATTGATAACAAGGGAAGTGGCCCCTATGCCTGGTAGGAATTTAACTGGTGTGGGGAGTTTCACTTTTATCTTTAAAACTGCAAGTCAAATACTATATCACAAAGCACTTTTGAACCCCTTTTAAGCATGATGAGAGAGGGAAGTTGCTGCTTGCTTAACAGAAGTCCAAAATCTCTTCAGTTCAACAACCACAATACCCTGTGGATTCTAACCAGATGCTTGCATGATGTGTGTCCTTGCACATGCTTTGAGGCACATCACACCATACTTCTTGATGGGATGATTTCCTAGCCTGTCACAATTAGTCTCTGACAGTTACTGATCCAAGTTGTGTTACAGCGTATTATCAGAATTGTGACAAATCTAGGTTCACACTTTGTACACGTTTCTATTTTTCTGGAAGGAAGGGGAAACAAGACCAATTGTGACTAGTGTACTGTAATCAATGATCTGAGATCAAGGACACTCAATTACAAAGAACAGTTAATGTCTGTGTAGAATTCTCTTTTTCTATACCTGTTCCCAACTGAAGTGAAAGAGACAGCTTGCTGCAAAGTTTCTTCAAAAACAGATCTCTCTTCAAAGGGGGACATACACTGATGAGCAAAGGCAGCAGTAGCACTCTAACTATGGAAAGTCAGAACAACAGCAACCTAACGGTGAGAAGCTTCAGCTAGGTAATTTTCAGAGGGTGTGAAGCAGCAGCATGGAAACACCCTGGAGCTAAGAACACAGCTCTAATTCTTGATGTCTGACAACTCATAGTCCCATTATTTGGCTGGGTGTGTATGTGCCCCATCAACTGATGAGAGTAGAAATTTGGTTCTTATTCATCCATACTTATTCCATCTTATTCGGGAAATGTTCTAGATCACTAGTGCAGACTTCTTTTGCATGCAAAACACCCCACATTTGATCCCCAATATCTTTATGCAGGAATGAAAAAGACCCATGAACTTCAGCGACACTGTCTATCTGGTAGTGAAGTGGAAGGTTCAGCAGTCTGGGTCAGTCCAAAGCAGTTTTTTATGAAGGTTCCCACAGCTGTATGCATATCTCTGCATGCTTTTCAATATGATCAAGATTCAAAAAACTCTGAGGTTTTTTTAATGACTGACAAAAACCTGATAAATTCTAATATTTGCTTATTATGTTTTCATTGACAAACAAGAAAATTGATAAAAACCTGATAAATTCTAATATTTGCTTATGTTTTCATTGACAAACAAATTGATGCATAAATAATGACATTTACATTACAATAAGAAAACCACGAAGCATTCCACTATTCTTCTTCTTCAATAATAATTGTCTGACTTGCAGTACTTATCTTTTTAAGTTATCCAACTAATTATTCACAGTAAACCCTTCCCTTCCCTCTGAGGATTTTTGCAACGTCAGCAGGCTATTTAAGACCAATATTTCTACATGTTCAGGTCTGTCACCCAGTAATCACCTTGAGTAACTGCAAGGCATGTTGTGCAAACAGCAAAATGAAATTACTTACCCACACCCTTGTGTGCATCAATACTAGTAAATTCAAGGGTCCCATCGTGGCAGCGTTTTGGATCTTCTCTATAGTCCTTGTGAATGTTATTAGGACAGTATCGAAAAGCAAGGCCATAATCCACCAAATAGACCTATCAAGATTCCAAGTGCATCAGAATCAGTTTCGTACAAGGATTTAAAAGGACCATATTATGACACTGTTTGTCATCTTTACAATAGAAAATTGTATTGTAATCGTACAATATTCTTACTGTATTGTCCTCAGGAAAAAAACATCCAGTCTTTAAACTTGCATAGTGTAAATTCATTGTAGTATCTACCCTGTTTCCCCTAAAATAAGACCTAACCTGAAAATAAGCCCTGGTATGGTTTTTGAGGATGCTCATAATATAAGCCCTACCCCAAAAATAAGCCCCACTTAAGTGAAACCCTGCCCTCCACCATTGTGCAGCAATCAGAAGATGACATGATTATGTTTGAATAAATGTAGATAATTGTACATGAAAAAAATAAGATATCCCCCCAAAATAAGCCCTAATGCATTTTTGGAGCAAAAATTAATATAAGTCCCTATTAAATTAATTAATAATTAATATACATTTTCAGGGAAACACTGTATAACCTGGTGATAATTCTGTACACACAATACAGAAGACTACCACATCAAATTATCACACTCAATGTTGCTCATATATGCCATCAATTCCTTCATCCTTCTTTGACATACACCTCAGGGACTTTGAGTGCGCCAGGGCAGTTAAAAGCAATGTCATTAGGAAGCTATACTCCATAAGGAGCCACCAAAGACAAAATGGTCAAAGGTGAGACACAAGATGAAGAAATAGTCATCCTCACAAGGAACTAAGTCATGCACATGTAAGATAACTGATAGTTCTAGTAGTGGTGAAAGAACTTCTAAAGTACAGCTACTCTGCAGCAGAGGTAGTGAAAAGTAACAATATTTCACAGGCAAGAGACATGGTTCTAACCACTTCTTGTTAATATTGTGCAGAAGAACGAATGCTAAACCACTTCTGAATATTTTATACTTTGAAAACCTTATGATTAGGCAATTCAGAATACTGAACATACTTGCTTTTCATGGAAGAATAGATGAAGCTACAGCAGCTCTCCCTGCACACTATCTGCTCATCTCATCTCCCTGTGCTCTAAACTACCACAAATGCTCAGTACCTATGTAGTGTGGTTTCTAATTCCACCAGAAGCTGCAGCTTGCACTGAGGTGATGGTGAAGGCTTCTGGGAGTTGTAGTCCAAGAACATCTGGAGGCCCAAGGTTGGGGACCACTGCTCTAAACTACCACAAATGCTCAGTACCTATGGAGTGTGGTTTCTAATTCCAGAAGCTGCAGCTTGCACGAGACAAAGAACTGCTACAGTAACTCAAAGCTAGAAACAGTGTTCTGTTCTACTTTTTTGTCCCAAATTGTAAATAACCAAGAAGTGTATCCAACTTTCCTTTGCGGATTTCAATGGCTTCCCTGTGTAATCTAACATAATGATTGCTGCTGTTGTCCAGTACATCTGTGTTTTGAAATAGGATTTCATGTCCAGCTTGTTTCAGGGCATGTTCAGCTACTGCCGATTTTTCCAGTTGTTTTAATCTGCAGTGTCTTTCATGTTCTTTGATTCTGGTGTGGATGCTGCGTTTTGTGGTCCCAATATATACCTAGCAATATATATCCACAAACATCAGCACAGCTTCAACAAAAAAGAAGAAAGTCTAAAACTCAAGAAAGCCTGGCTCCCAGCACAGAAAAATACAGCCTGCAAAAAGGCCAACAAACTCTACTCAGCCACATGGACCGGTGATCATTGCACACAACAGACTAGCTAACAAAACCCATCAATCACAGTGACAGATCATCTCCCCGCTTATCACAACAATACACCCACAACAAAAAACATGCTGATCACCATAATCACCCAAACTCCTGAAAAGGACAAAAAGCTGATCTGACAGCTACAAATAGTCAATTATCCCACATTACTACACCAGAACACAGACTTCTAGCTCCTCTCCTCTGAAGATGCTGGCCACAGAGACCGGCAAAACATTAGGAAGAAAAGCCTCCAGAACAAGGCCAAATAGCCCGAAAAACCTACAACAACCATCTGTTCTTTAAAAGCTTCCAGATGAGGCTTTTGAAGCTCTCTCATCCAACCTCATTCCCAGTTTACAGTAGCTGAAATCCTATTGCTTCATGTAGTAAGTAGCACTGGAGTAGGCCTAATGAACCAGTGGGGATTCGATGAGTCAATGTCTCTACAAGTTCCATAGATCTAAATGGGCCTGCTCTGGTTACCGAGGCATTCACAATTAAATCAGGCTTATCTGGATCAATGGAACTTACAGAGGGGTTCACTCACCAAATCCCCACTGATTCAATGGGCTTACTCTGGTGCAGTTGTTCCTAACCTTGAGTAACTCAGGTGCTCTCAGATTGCAATTCCCAGAAGCTGCCTGGGGGTTCTAAGAGTTGCAGTTGAACAATATCTGGGTTACTCAAGATTGGGAACCACTGCTCCACTGCAATGTTGGATGCTGAAAACAGGATTTTAACCAATGAGTCTAGATACTGCAGAAGATAATGCCTTTTGTTTTTAATCTCTCTCTCTCTCTCTCAATCTCTCACTCACACACACATACACACACAAGCTGTTAGGTAAGAAGACAGAGATTGGAGTAACCTTTCCTTTCTTTATATAGTATATTAATAATACTAATCATATACCATAATAATAATCAATTCAGACTTATGGCAACCCTTTCAAAATTTTCCAGGTAGAGAGTACTCAGAAGTGGTTTACTCTTCCCTTCTTCGGGGGAATCATGGGACTGTGCAGCTTGCCCAAGGCCACACAGGCTAGCTCTTCTCACAGGAGGCCCAGTGGGGAATCAAACTCCCAACCTCTGGTTCTGCAGCCAGATACCTAAGTCACTGAACTATCCAGCTCTGTAATAAATTAGTTCCATATACTTGTGCATAGTAGAACTTTTTGTGGATAAGCAGATTTTTCTGAACTTAAATTTGCAGGGTTAGCTGGGCTACTCCAAAAATACTAGCTTATTCATCCCATGATGAACTTGAAATGGAGGGGAAATTATTTACTTTGTACGTGTATTTGCCAAATACTAAGGACGTAAAATAATAATAATAACAAAATTAGACAGCAACAGATATTTCTGTAAACCAATTGATTTGAATAATCAACATGTTAAAAAAAAAGTCAGGCTTTCCAAGCAACAGAACACTTATGCTTGATGGATTCTTCAAACAAAAGAAATAAAAAATTGACAAAGCAGACAAGCAAACGTAATTCACCAGTGTACTATATAATTTTAAACTTTCACCGCCAAATAGCTATTTGAAATTCGTTTTGTATCGCAAGCATTCTCCTGAATATTATTCAGGGCAGAATAGCCAATTTGATCAACTGCCAGCAAAGTGAATAAAAAATGTACAACATTAACTAGATATAAATGTCAAGCAGAAATATTAATGCTGTACACATTCATAAAGGCAAGATTTCTGCTGAGGTTCACAGCGGCTCCATTTTCTTTAAAACAATAGGTTAAGCACTGCAGAATGAAAAGCACTGTCGAAGTTACCTGATGAGGAGCCTTGTAGCCCAAGAGCAGATTCGAAGCCTTGATGTCGGCATGCACGTATTCATGTTCATGAATATATTCCAAAACATCGAGCTAACAAAAAGCGTAACAAACAACGAGGTCAGCTAAAACATGGTGCCCAAACCCACCCAGTAGAGGGCACTACCCATGGCAGACTAATGTTAAAATGTGGATTTCTCAATGTACCATTTGAAATACTGAATTGTCAAACTTACTATTCTCAAGCCCAACTGTAATACAGTTTTGCGAGTAAACCGCTTTCCTCTCTCTTCAAAAATCTTCTGAAGATCTTTCCCAAATCTGTCCATCACCATAAATCTATAGCTGATTTCAAAACAAAGCACAGTGCTTTTCAGGAAATTTAATAAGTGTAGTCATATTAGTCTGCAGCCTAATGCCACAAAAGAAACCACGAGGAAAATTAAAGACTAATGTAGGTAAAGTGGACTATAGTTTACAAAAGCTTATGCTAAATAAAATGAGTGTCTTTAAGGTACAATAAGACTCATTGCTTTGTTTTAAACAGTGTTTCCCAACCTGGGGGTCATGACCCCCCAAGGAGATCAGAAAGTGTGGGGGCGAGATCTCATTATATGTGTTGCGCCCCTTGTTAAATAATTTCTTCCTTGATCTTTTGGAGCAGGATATTACAGTAGTTTGTATATATGTGAAACCTCCACTTTCCAATAGAAGATGACTTTTTATGCAAACAGGGTGAGGAGAATCACCAAGCAAAACTTGGTGGGTGTAACTACCTGGCTATTATAAAAGGGGTCGTGACTCAAGAAAGGTTGGGAACCACTGCTTTAAAAAGTGTCACATATTATTGCATGGGGGGGGGAGAGAAACAAAATAATAGCTGAAATTCTGTTCTGTAGGAATGCTGGCAGAAGGGACATGGTGCAACTCACAGTGGCAAATTGCTTCTAATTAATGAATCCCCACTTAGGTTCTTCATTGCATGTTAGTCAAGTAGCTTGGCAAGGATTCATCATTTAGTGGCAATTTGTTGCTGTGAGTTACCCAATTTCTCTCCTTTTGACATAACTACACAAGAAGAATTTGGCCAATGTAACTGAATGGCAAAAGTAGGTAGGTAGGTAGGGAGGTAGGTAGGTAGGTAGGGAGGTAGGTAGGTAGGTAGGTAAAATTGACAAAATAAGATATACAAGATTATACGAAGTTAAGAACAGAAAAAGCTCAAAATTATAATTTTCTTTTGTTCATGCATCTTAAAAGGCATTTAAATTACACAGAAATTAGATGGCCACCTGTCAGGGATGCTTTAGCTGTGGATTTCCTGCTTTGGTAAGGAGTTGGACTCAGTGACCCTCAAGTTCCCTTCCAGCTCTGAAGTTCTATGATTCTATGATAGCAGAATAACACACAAAGAACCATAGAACAATTAAAACACAAAACTAGTTCAACTAAAATAAAAGGCCTTTTAGAATATGAAAGCTGTCACTATGTTTTTTAAAGATTAACAGGGAGGGGGTTAAATGGGCATCCTAAAAGACACTGGGCATTCCCCCCGACATCTCAGACAACCGTAGTCCACACTAAGATATGGAGGCAGGTATAGTAATCTGGGAGCAAGTGATTCTTAAATAGTTACAAAATGAAAACACCATTCTTGAAGGCATGTTAAAATGGCCATTATTCAGCAAGCCCCCTTCCTTGTCACAAGGGGTTCATGGGCTTTTTCCAATTTGCTTGGAACACAAGCAGACTTTTCACTTTCTACCTCTGGCTTATATGGAAGCTGCTTCTCCAAACTCATCAAGTTTACAAAGCATTTTGTGATGCTTTCATTGAGGGCGGATTTGATTTAAAACCCGCTGATTTAAATCATGATTTAAATTTAAAAATAGTGTTTTTAATTTTTTTTTAAATTGGTGGGTTTTTTTTCAATTTAAATTGTGATTTAAATCAATTCAAATTGATTTTTAACCACCCTGCTTTCGTTGTCTTGAAAATTAATAAAGAAGCAAAGAAAAAACTCAAAGAAAAAGGCCACCACAGATTTGGGTGAGAATCAAACATTAAATGATCATTGTAAATAATCATAACTGAAATAAAAAAGAGAGCCAGAATCCTACTAAGAAAAACTGCTCACGCAAAGACAGTCAATCATGCAGCAGCTTTTCCCTTCTGGTTTGCTTCCATGGTATCACTGGGTGTTCTATCACCATCTCTATCAGAAGAAGACAGGAAGTGTGCGGACATAAAACAAGACAGGTAGGCTTGCTTGTGCTTTTTCCCCACCTACACCTACAATCTGTGAATCTAACAGGATTTGGGCCAAGGAGCTGCAGCCAGAATTCAGAAGAAATGTCAAGGAAGCATGGAGCATCTGTGAAAGTAGAAGCCTAATATAGAAATATTTCTAAACTGAAGTTGCAGAGCACAATGCGTATTGGCTAAAACTCTTCCCCAACTTACAAATAATAAATGTAATGATTTCCTGAAAGGTTTTCATGTAATATGTGTTGAAATAAAACCAATAAAGTCTCAGTACCTTGAGTGCTAAGACATTTATTTAAGCACTAGATGGAACAACACAAAAATGCATAGGGTTCACCTAACAATGACCTTCATGTGCAGATGTCAGTATGTATCACCAAGTATCTACCAACATTTAGCTAAAGGGGAGGGATTAGGGGGGGATTTCTATGACATGTCATATTTTTTTCTGCAGCCTATGTTTGAACTTCTAAGTGGGTTTATGGACATGTTTATGAGTAATCTGGTGAGAAAGGCCAGATTACTCACAAACATGTTTAAACTTCCTTGTATGTTCAAGTATAGATTGAAAAGAAAGTATGAAATGTCATACATATGCTCTCCCTAGTCTTATCATTATAATTTTGGATACTACTGTTTTCAGGTGACAATACTGAATCCCTGTTATCATAATGGAAAATTCTTAAATGTGTGTGAGAGAAAAAACATGGTATCATGTTTGTCAAGGTTACTCTTAAGAAATCAGTGGAAGGGTTGCACAACTGCTGTTGCTAGAAGATGAGAGATATGTTGTACACTCTTTAAAATGATATGGTTTGTACCTTCTGCCATTCTTTTGATGCAAACCGGAACCCCAGTACTTTGGTACACCTAAGTATTTCAGTTTGTGCGAAGATATCCATTTTTTAACTGAAAACATAAATAAGTTTCCAAATATGCATTGTTACACCATTTTGCAAAGCAATCATTGTCATATTTAAACATGAATGTGATGATCAAATGGAATTAATATCTTTGACTAATAATTAAATATTTACTACGAAGAAGATCCAATCAAGCCACTGTTAATAATGTTTAAACTCAGTTTAATTAGACATAGGCAAGTCTCTCCCACTGAAATTAGTGGGACTTTTAAAAGGCTCACTTTCACTGGATTGTGCCCTTTTTATTATGTATGCATTTTGTGCATATTTCCCTCCCAGATTCTTGCAATTCTAATATAACAAAAGCAAGCAGCAGCCAAGACATCTTGTCTCTTTGTAAATCCAAACATGTTATTAAAATACAATTGCTTATACTTTCTTTCCCTTTCCAAGAAGGCATCTTATTTTTCTCCTTGGAAATTAGTGCCTGGGGCCTCAGTGGGCTGTGACCTTCTAGCTTAAAAGAGGACAAGAGCAAATGTTCCAGTTCAGTAGGCCCTGTTTATAAACAATTAACTTAAATAAATATCCAACACTGTACCATTATAAAGGAACATCCCATTATAATTAAGAACGTCCTTAAAGTAACCATTTAGAGTGTTCTATGAAAGACAATTCTGATTGCCCATGCAGTATGAAACAATAGATCACCACGCCTCTCCCCTAGTTTTATATGCTGATCATCAAAAAGGTTTAAACAAGTTCTTTTGTTGACTCAAAACTCAAGAGTACATTACTTACTCAGGTCTGGTTTAGCAGCTCGCATGTAGAAACTTAATTCAGTAAAGAGTGGTCCATTGTCACTGGGCTCCTTCAAAAATAATTTAAAAATAATTAAACCTTTTCAGACCTTATTTCTGTCTTACTCTTCCTGGTAAATACAGTATTCTGATGTTAGACAGAAATGGGGGTATTCATATATGAATATCCCTGTGCAGCTGGACTTAACAAGTGGCGAGAGTCTCCCTGCCTGGCTGCCAAGTGGTCAACTGAGCAGGAAGAGATTCGCACTCCGGGCATGATTGGAAAGATGAGTGGGACTACCACTGCAGCAGGACATGTGAGTGAATGGTTCGGATCCTTGTTAAGTCCAGCTGCACGGGGATATTCCTATACAGATACAAATATTCCCATCTCTAATGTTAGATAAAGCTTTCTTAACAGCTTCCATATTTCAGGTTTTTTCCCCATTAATCACAAGTAATATCAGTTCCATTTACTTTAACAGGTCTACTATAGCTAGGAATACTGTTGGATTTGGCCCATGGAATCCATAATGAAGGAACCTGTGCCTTTCAAAAAGTCTTATGCTCAAAACAACAACAGAGAGGGCAGAGCTAGAACTTGTTCCCACTGCCTCTTCCTCACACATTTGTTTTAACTCCATTTAGAATGCTTGAATGGAGATGTATTATTCCACATTTCATTATGTGTAACATTTGTTGTCATACTACATTATAAACATGCATGTGTTGCTTGAAAATCTCCAAAATTTACTGAGGAGCTTCTGCCTCTGACATGTATAAATCTACAAGGATCTTTGGGAGTCTAGGAAAATGCAATACACGAAGTTGGACTATTCCTCCATCTAGCCCAGTAATATCTACTATGACTGGCAGCAGCTCTCCATGATCTCCGACAGATATCCTTCTCTATCATCTGCTACCTGGTCCTCTTACCTGGACATGGAAGAGATCTTATGGGACCTTATGCATTAAAAATGTGGATGCTGCTATTGAGAGCATGCATTAACTACAACATGCATTTTAAATCTGGTCAGTTTCTAGTAAAGCTAAGGCTTAAACGCTAAAAAGAAAAAACATGGCTGAAGTCCTGTTGTGCACTTAGGCAAATGACATAACTTTTAGTGGTAAATTGCTGTAAGTTAAGAAATCTACACAGACCTTATCTGTTGCACACTAAGCCACGTGACCTAGTATGCAATGGATAATGGACAAAATCCTCTTGTTTAGTATAGTAAATCACACCAGAGTAGGCCCACTGAATCAATGGGGATGTGGTGAGTCACCTCCTCCGTAAGTTCCACTGATTCAAATGGGCCTTTCCTAATATTGACTTATTATGCTAAGCAACAGGATTTTGGCCAATGTATATGGAGATTTATTCATTGTTGCTTAGTTGTTAAGTCATGTCTGACTCTTCGTGACCCAATGGACCAGAGCATGCCAGGCCCTCCTGTCTTCCACTGCCTCCTGGGGTTGGGTCAAATTCATGTTGGTAGATTGCCTTCACTCTTTCCCAACATCAGGGGTTTTTCCAGGGAGATTTCTCTTCTCATGAGATGGCCAAAGCACTGGAGCCTCAGCTTCAGGATCTGTCCTTCCAGTGAGCATTCAAGGTTGATTTCCCTCACAATGGATAGGTTTTATCTCCTTGCAGTCCAGGGGACTCTCAAGAGTCTCCTCCAGTACCACAATTCAAAAGCATCAGTTCTTCAGCGGTCAGCCTTCTAGGGTAACCCTGGTATTTATGGACTTCAACTTCCAGTACCCCAGCTAGTACAGCAAGTGGTGAAGACTTCTGGGAGTTGCTGTCCAAGAGCAACTGACTTACACAAGGATGGAAACCACTATTCTAATGGATACTTTTTGGATGAAACCTACAGTGATTAGGCAGGTCAGCTGAAGGTTTTCGACTAATACCTTAAGGAATCAGGAAGATGAAGCTGTTTTCAAGATGTATGTATTTGTACCTGAATAAAAATACTTTTTTTCTCTGTGTGTCATACAATTTCAGGCATATATTGATATATATAAAGACTCATTCATAGAATCTCCTCCAGCACCACAATTCAAAAGCATCAGTTCTTCGGCGGTCAGCCGTCCTTATGGTCCAGCTCTCATGTCCATACCTCACTACTGGAAAAAACATAGTTTTGACTATGCGGACCGTTGTTGGCAAGGAGATATCTCTGCTTTTTAAGATGCTGTCTAGGTTTGTCCTCACTTTCCTCCCAAGAAGCAGGTATCTTTTGATTTCGTGGCTACTCTCACCATCTGCTGGGATCATGAAGCCCAAGAAAGTAAAATCTGTCACTGCCTCCATACCTTCCCCTTCTATTTCCCAGGTGGTGATGGGCCCAGTGGCCGTGATCTTAGTTTTTTTAATGTTGAGCTTCAGACCATTTTTTGCGCTCTCCACTTTCACCCTCATTAAGAGGTTCTTTAATTCCTCCTTACTTTCTACCATCAGAGTGGTATCATCTGCATATCTGAGGTTGTTGATATTTCTTCCTGCAGTCTTAGTTATGACTTGAGATTCCTCCAGTCCTGCCTTTCGCATGATGTATTATGCATATAAATTAAATAATGAGGGAGACAATATACAGCCTTGTCATACTATTTTCCCAACTTTGAACCAATCAGTTGTTCAAACTGTTGCTTCCTGTCCCACATATAGATTCCTCAGGAAATAGATAAGGTGGTCAAGGACTCCAATTTCTTTAAGAACTTGCCGTAATCTGCTGTGGTCCACACAATCAAAGGCTTATGCGTAGTCAATGAAGCAGAAGCAGATGTCTTTCTTGAACTCTCTAGCTTTCTCCATAATCCAGCGCATGTTAGCAATTTGGTCTCTAGTTCCTCTGCCCCTTCAAAATCCAGCTTGTACTTCTGGGAGTTCTCGGTCCACCTACTGCTGAAGCCTACCTTGGAGGATTTTGATCATAACCTTGCTAGTGTGAGAGATGAGTGTAATTGTACGGTAGTCGGAGCATTCTTTGGCACTGCCGTTCTCTGGGATTGGAATGAAGACTGATCTTTTCCAATCTTCTGACCGCTGCTGAGTTCTCCAAACTAGTTGGCATATTAAGTGTAGCACCTTAACAGCATCATCTTTTAAGATTTTAAATAGTTCAACTGGAATGCCATCACCTCTACTGGCCTTGTTGTTAGACAAGCTTTCTGAGGCCCACTTGACTTCACTCTCCAGGATGTCTGGCTCAAGGTCAGCAATGGCACTATCTGGGTTGTCCAGGACATCCAGATCTTTCTGGTATAATTCCTCTGTGTATTCTTGCCACTTCTTCTTGATGTCTTCTGCTTGATGTCTTCTGCTACATTCAGTTTTCAGGGCCTTAATTATTTGTTGTTGAGCTTTGGGCATCTAAGGCGAATAAGTTCATAAATGACAAGCCGTCCAGTATTCTCACACCCATTGCTCTCCAGAAGTGTGGATTCCTAAATTTTTAATCCAACACGTGAGACATTAGGTTGTGTAAGGCAGCCTTATGCTAAAGGAAATGTTTGCTGTTTGGTTTGTAAGTCTGCTTACTTTTTTCTTCTTTTTTAACCTCCAAGACTGAAAGAAACAACTATCTGATTATTACTGAACTGAGCAAACATGATTTTGTTTCCCTTCTCTTCTCTGCTATTTGTAAGGCCTTGTTAAACAGGCACTTTGCTTTTTTGCCTTTCCTTTTCTTTGGGATGGTTTTTGTTGCTGCCTCCTGTACAATGATGCTAGCCTCCATTCAGAGTTCTTCGGGCACTCTGTCCTCCAAATCTAGTTCCTTAAATCTGCTCTTCACTTCCACTGTGTATTCATAAGGGATTTGGTTTAGATTATACCTGACTAGCCCAGTGGTTCTTCCTACGTTCTTCAGTTTAAGCTTGAGTTGTGCTGTGACAAGCTGATGATCAGAGCCACAATCAGCTCCAGGTCTTGTTTTTGCTGACTGTATAGAGCTTTTCCATCTTTGGCTGCAGAGAACATAAGCAATCCAATTTCAGTATTGCCCTTCTAGTGATGTCCATGGGTAAAGTCGCCTCTTGTGCTGTTGGAAAAAAGTGTTTGTGATGACCCACTTGTTCTCTTGACAAAACGCTATTCGCCTTTGCCCTGCTTTGTTCTGAACTCCAAGGCCAAACTTTCCTGTTGTTCCTTTTATCTCTTGACTCTGTACTTTAGCATTCCAGTCCCCTATAAGATTTCTTAGCTTATGTCAATTCACTTCCAAATTTATGCCATTTGCATAACTGCACAAGCAGATTTCAGCCACTGTTTTCTACTAAAGCCCACATACGAGTTTGTTTGTGTGCGTAGGCAACCTACCATGAAGTTGAATACTTTTAATAATGCTGCCTTATGGGACTTTTGCAGCCTTTACTTCAGACTATGCCCTTTTGAAACAATTAGCAAGTTATAAAGGAGCCTGAATGCTACAATAGACTACCATATGCAAAGAACTCTGTCTGAGTTCAATGTTCTTGTCTTCAACTAGTAAAAGCTTTGTACATGCACTACAGTGTATTCTAATCTCTGTATCCAGAAGAGCTTGACTTAACATAGGCAACTCAATTCTCACTCAGGGTAAACTCAGATGTAAAATAACTACTTCAGTATATCTATATATGCTTTCATACATGCCCATCTTTAAGACACATTTACGTTTTCAAACTGTCTACTCTCTGTAGTTAGAGGCATTCATTTATTAACACAATTTATCTCCATTAGGGTTATACACTAAAATAGACCACAAAGCACTGATGTTCTATATAAATAAAATGTTTATATCAGCATCCTCTTAAAACCGCACATATATCACTAACATGAACTATGCATTAATGCTTTTCAATACATTTAGTACTCAAAAACATGATGTATAGACTAGTTTTACAAACATAAACCTAATCAATTCATAGTGTCTTTAACTCTATAAATAAAAGAGAGCTAGAAGCAGGCAAATACATATGACATTAGGTTACTACTATCAAGCAATACTTGCAGCTATGGAAAATGGCACCTTATATTTTTGCACTGTTTTAATCAAGATGCTTCCCGCATAGAGTCAAAATATATCACATATCAATATATCATAGTTTAGAGACTGGCAAATGAACACCAAAGTTAAGCAGCTGGCAGTCAAATCCCGACTCTGAAGAAATTACACCTTCCCTACCAATCTCCACGGCCTACCAATAGCTTCCTTTCAAGGGGTTGTGGTGATGCAGAAGATTCAGAGGTGAAAGCCCTACTTATTCCCAGCTCCATCCCACCTGAATCTAGCTCTCCAGCCTATCAAGGAAAACGAAAGCAAGCAGAGTGGCTGGACCACAGAAGGCGGTTCAACAAAGACAGCAGTCTGATCTCTGACCACCTCATCCACTGTGTGACCTAAGCCATAGCCAGAAGTGGTTACAAATTATGGCATTTTAGCCACAGACCTCTGATAACATAAGGGAATATGGAAAAGCAGCAAGCTCATATTCCAATTCAATCTGTCCAAAGACAGCGTTAACAACTGTCCATTTCATAGGGAGCTGATAAACATCCCAGATATTTTAAAACAATCCATAGCAGATGCATGCTGTTCAGCCATTTGAGACTACAACCCAACAATTATATTAATTTAGAGGGGGGGAACAACTTCAGGAAGAAGGTGTTTGTTACTTCAGATAATAATGCTAATGACAGATCATTTAAAGAAGTTTTCCACTTTTGATAAAGTTAAGAGAATTAACATATCTTAATCAATTCGCAACTCATGGGACAAAAGGTGCTTGTGGGTTTTCTTACTATAACTTCCACAAACAAACTGAAAGAGTCTTTCTAGTTTTCCCAAAATGTTGTAGTCTAAAATTATTAGGAAAAAATCTAGTTTTAATATTGCACTCTTCAACTACAGTCTATTTCAAAATAAAATGATTTAAACTTACCACTTTTATCACATAAGGTGCATCACTGGTGACAGCTTTTGAAGAATTAACATCAGCTATGTTAAAATATGAAAGGATTCTTATCAGTAGGATGAAAGAACTATATTCTTAACATACATTCACTTTATATACGCATAGAAGCATTATATACATTATTAATTGTACTAAATAAACCAGAAACAAACTTTCAGACAAGTAAGCATGAAAGTTTCAATGGAAACCTTTCTCTTTCATGCACTACCTGCACAATATACATAATGATACATGTGTGACTGTTGCACCGAACATTTCAATTTTACATGTAAATGTAAAAAATTTGTAGGCCCCTGTTAAAATGTAATATGAAATGTCTTTCAAAGTACCACTTGCTACTTCCAGGAGACACGTAGTTTTGAGAGTACCTGATGATGTAAAATTAATCTGCATAATACTTGCACTGGGTGTGTCACGAGAGACCAAGAGCAATATCATCCACACTCTTGTATTCCTAATCGCCATGTATGGGTGTGAAAGCTGGAGGTTAAGAAAACTAACAGGAACAATATTGATTCATCTGAAATGTAGTGCTGAGGACAGCTTTGTGGATAACCTAGGCTGCCAGAAAGGTGAACAACTTGGTGTGTCCTAGATCAAATCAAGTCTGAACTGCCTCTGGGGGCAAAAATGTGGAAATTGAGGCTGTCCTACTTTGGGCACATCATGAGAAAAGACATCTGGAAAAGACAATAATGCTAGGAATGGTGGAAGGCAGTAGGAAAAGAGGAAGACCAAACACAAGATGAATTGACTCCCTAAAGGAAACCACGGGCTTGAGTTTACAAGAGATGAGCAGAAGTACTAAGGGCAGGAAATTTGGTGATTCATAGGGTCGATGTAGACGCAACCTGACAGCAGAGAACAAAAACAATATTTTCAAGATGAAAAGGACAATGTCTATTCCATGCCAACTACTGTACTGTTGGTCCATTTTGTTGTTTTTTTAAAGGCTGTGTGGTCCCTTACATAGTATAAATGCCAGAGCTGATGACAGTGCCAGGATGAGAAATCCAGCCACTGCTGTCTGGGGTTAAGTCTGAAACCACACACTTAAGAAACAAACCTGGCGCAAACCTTCAGAACACGGCCAAAGAGCCTGAAAAACCCACAACAACCAAACCAAGCACAATGATCTGCCATGATTTTTAAGGACTCTCACTTGATTTTGGTGCACAGACTAAGGAAGATAGATTAACAGTAAAAACTAGTTTTTGCTCAATTTCTTTTTTAGTGGTCTAATAAAGGAATCATCTGTCCTTGCATTTGTCAGTCCAAATACAGCAAGATCAATACAAGAAACTAAAGAAAAGCAGCACCAAACAGCCTAGGCCCTCCAAAAGCACAAAATCCTGAGGTTAGAAAAAACATGCATATTTTGAATTAGCACTCTGGATTTTGGAGAAGCAAGCTATCATCTGGAAGCGCTCTTACAACATGGAAAACCTGCTATTTGCTTTCTATTTTAAGATACCATACATCAGAAAATGAGCATTTTTTTTCAACTCAAGAATCAGATATGTTCCCTAAAGAAATCTAGTATCTAAAGTCTTTAATAGCACTTTAGAGACAGCAACTAATAGTCCTGGCCTTACAACATGACAGCAGAAAGCAAACGTCCAGAAAAGATTCCTGCAACTATCCCACAATGTTCTCTCTATACAGCAAGCTGGATCAGATTTATCTAAATCTCTGGCCCATGTCCTGTTGCCTAGCTGTGTCTGTTTCACAGAAGCAATGCAATCAGCAGTTGCAGATTGGTAATGAAAAGTTCCTTTTCTGATTTCAGGGTGTACACAACTTCATTATCACCCTGAAACTGAAATGAGAACTCTTTCACTAGTGGCAATCTGCCACTGTCGGTGATGTCACTGCCATTCTGCCAGTGGAGAGCTACACAAGAGGATACTTTAAAAATCATGTTAATTTTGAAATGCATAGACTGGGCTTCCAAAGACATCACCTTGCCAACAAAGGTCCGCATAGTCAAAGCTATGGTTTTTCCAGTAGTGATGTATGGAATTGAGAGCTGGATCATAAGGAAGGCTGACTGCTGAAGAATTGATGCTTTTGAATTGTGGTGCTGGAGAAGACTCTTGAGAGGCCCCTGTACTGCAAGGAGATCAAACCTATCCGTTTTGAAGGAAATCAACGCTGAGTCCTCACTCGAAGGACAGATCCTGAAGGTGAGGCTCCAATACTGTGGCCATTCCATGAGAAGAGAACACTCCCTGGAAAAAACCCCTATGTTGGGAAAGTACAAAGGCAAGAGGAGAAGGGGATGACAGAGGATGGTATGGTTGGACAGTGTCATCGAAGCTACCAACATGAATTTGACCCAACTCTGGGAGGCAGTAGAAGACAGGAGGGCCTGGCATGCTGTAGTCCATGGGGTCATGAAGATTCGGACACGAGTTAATGACTAAACAACAACAACACTTTTTTCCTGCTGCATCATGCTGTTGATTCCTGTTTGGCCTGTGATCCTGTATAAAACCCCTATCTTTTCATACATACAATTGCCAAGCCTGCTGTTATCCATCCTATACATCTGTATCTATCTTTCCTACCTAAATGTAGGACCAAGGCACCTTCTAATTTTCTGCCCTGCTAGAGAGGGATCTTCCTCTCTCTCGCATGTGACTTCTCTGTGTGAGCAGGGTTCAATCGCAACTCGAACCAAAGGGGAAATGAAAGCTGCATGGAGGCAGGCAGAGTTGCACACGTGCAGCAGCACAACTTAGTGGGATTGTTGTGTAGGACCTTATTTTCCCTGTTGAAACTGTTCATTTGGCCCAGTTTCAGCATCTGTTAAAGTCACAATGCCTGATTCTGCTTCTGAAGTATTAACTTCTCGTCCCCAGCATTGTCTGCAAATTTGGTAAGCATCCCCTCCATATCCTCCTCTGAGTTATTTGTATACACAGTATTGGGAGCAACATCTGGCCATGGAATAGGCTGCGTCATTTCTCTACAGGAGGGCAACGAAGTGTTGGTGAGCTCTCTTTCAGTATGACCTGTCAACCAGCTACTACTTAACAGTAGTATTGTCTATCCCGCATTACACCAGGTTGGCCACAAAAATACTGCAAAGGAACTCCCTGAAATAAAGGTGCATCCAATCCATATCATTCTCCTCCTCTACCTAGCTTGCAACTCTATCAAAGGAAGGGATAAGATTAGTCTAGCGTGACTTATTTCAATCAACATCCATCTATGTTCAAACATCTATGAATGAAAGAACCACAATAACTGCTTTTCTGCAGGGTCTACCTTTTCCAACACTCTACTCCAAGAGCAGCCACCTAGGTACTTTGTCTGATGAAGTGGACTTGTCTACAAAAGCTCACATTAAAAAATAAAGTTAGTCTTTAAGGTGCCACCACATTTTTGCCTTTTTATACTTTTTTAAAATTATTGTTTTCACCTATAGTTCCAAATAAAGCTGATCTAAACATTCCATAGGCAGAAAAATTGGTGAGTTGGCTGGATAATTTGGCCATTGGGAGAATACAAGCAGTATTTAGGTCCACAGATAACAGTTATATTTTTCCTTATGCAATGACATTTGGGACCATACTAATTCCCAGAAGCATTCTTTAAAAAGACTTTAACTACCGGACATTTAGCTGCTGAGTGAATCAGCCTTTCTGGAAATGCTAAAGAAACAGAAGCAAGAGATTAGCTGGCTGTCTTTTGTGTACAAAGTAATTATCCCTTTACCCACAAAACTACTGCAGTCTTCATAAGAAACCTGAAAGTGTAGCAGAAGTTCTTCATCCATTTTCACTGGATAATGAAAGTCCAGCAAAGGTGGGAGTATAAGCTCTAAGTAGCATGGAAGTAATATATGCAGTCAGGATTAACACTAGAAATTTAGCAGAGCCGAGAAAAGCAGAATGTTTCTAAACAGAACAGTGAAACAACGTATTTGAATTTTGGGTGCAGGATTAATATATTCAACTGAATTCAGGATAAAAGTTATGCCTATACGTTGTTCCCATGCCTTAAAGTGAAGATTTTTTTTTCTTGCTAAAAAAAGCTGTGAATCATGTTGCATATGCTGCAGTCTCATATGGTGCCTTTAAGAGGTTTTGGATGGGAAGAACCTTTCTGGATTGGGGTTGCTGTCAATCAAGAACTCAGCCCAGAAAGGTTCTTCCCATCCAAAACCTCAGTCAGTAGCAGCCAACCGTTCCCCTCTCTACCTCACAGTTCTTTTCTCCATCTTTTTCCATTCAAGGTTCAATTAGTGTTCTGTCTGCATGAGTTACAGAGTCTGAAGACAGAGTGAAATGTTTTATCTGTAATGTAACCAGTCAGTTATTTTTTTACATTACATTAGTAGTCTGTCAGTGTGTTACAGTTGTGGAGTGAGACGAGAACACTTAGAGTCAAGCGTTGTGTCAGCAACATAACCAGTCAGTTAGTTAACAATGAAGAAAACTGAGCAGGTAATTTGTAATCATAATTACAGTTAATCTGTAAGGTAACAAGTCAACATTTCCACAAAATATGGCATTTGTTTTTATATAATAAGAACTGTGAGTACAATGAAACCTTTTATTCTTATTCACACCAGAGTCTCTGAGTGAACGTACTGAAACAAATAAGTGCCAGTTGAGGTAAACTAACAAATAAAGGGTGGTCTGCTAAGGGAGACTGTAGTTCAATCTGCTTTCTAGGTTCTTCCCAGTACCATTTTTATCTGCTGTGTAATCAGAAGGGAAGTTTATTACTAACTGAAGCCATACAACAAGTTCCTCTCACAAAACAAAACAGACCCCCAACCTATACATGGCTGAGGATTTCACTGGTTTCTGAATCAATCTTACCAAGGTACAAGCAGCCAAAGCCACCTTTGCCTATAACTTGGCCAAGTTTCCATTCTTTCTTTAATAGGTCGGTGAAGACTTCTCCAGGAGGGAATTCTTCGGCAAGCTTCCGCTTTGGAGGACCCCTTTTTCTAGCTGTCTTCTTCACATTAGGCATATTTGCTAAACAAGACAAAACAAAATCACACATAGGAGGCCCATAGCATGCCGTTTACTTCACAGTGTCCCCTGCTTTTAGTCATTCAATATGCATAATACCACTTCCCATTCTTTAACATAACCTCCCCATATAGAAATCACAGCAAAATAAATACAGTGGTGCCTCGAAAGACGATTGCCTCGCAGAACAATTAATCCGCAAGACGATAGGTTTTTGCGATTGCTGTGGCACTTTGCAAGATGATGTTTTCTATGGACGATTTTTACAAGACAATGTTTTGGTCTGTGCTTCACAAGATGGTTCCCCCCCCCCTCATGGAACACATTAATTATATAAGACCCACTTTTTATCCCAAATAAATGGGGGGGGGGAGTATATGCTGCTGGCTGTCTAGGATCTGCCTCCTGGAAAGCCAGCAGGGATGGTGAAAACAGCTGAGGACCAAAGGGTAAAGAGATTCTGAAAACACCAGGGAAATGACAAATGCAATCCCCCATTACCACAAATTATGCAGTTGAGTTCCCCACATTTGGGGAACTCCCCCTTCTGTGCCCTGCCCCCCAAGGCATGGTGACCCCTGGCTGCACCTCCCGCTCAGAACAGGGCTGCACAGCCCCAGTCCTGCCAGAGGCCATGAGAGCTCCTCAATGTTTTGGGGGGTGTCAACACCAGGGAAATGACAAATGCAATCCCCCATTACCACAAATTATGCAGTTGAGTTCCCCACATTTGGGGAACTCCCCCTTCTGTGCCCTGCCCCCCAAGGCATGGTGACCCCTGGCTGCACCTCCCGCTCAGAACAGGGCTGCACAGCCCCAGTCCTGCCAGAGGCCATGAGAGCTCCTCAGTGTTTTGGGGGGTGTCCCAGGACCCCCATCAGGGGCTAGGTGTTCCTCCTACAATCCTCTAGTGCACAGAAGGGGGTAGGAGGTGCAAGGGCCACTCCAACTCATACCTTGCAGGGGAAATACCATGGTCATGAAAGTGGTTTTCCCAGGGTGAGGCTCATCCATTGCACTTCAGGTGTGCTGATCCCTGTGATTTCCCCAAATGTGGGGAACTCAACTGCATAATTTGTGGTAGTGGGGCATTGCATTTGTGCTTTCCCTGGTCTTTCTAGAATCCTTTTCATCTCTTTTCCCCTCATCAGGACCTATTGCAAAGGCAGCAAGTCCTGGTGATGCCTTGTATTGCATTCTCTCTCTTTTTCCCTCCAGTGGCAAAGGATCAAGGCAAAAGGGGTCACCATGATCAGGAGCCAGGGGGCTGCTTTGACTTCTTTCTTTGCTGCTGGAGAGAGAAAGAGGGGGAAGGCTGTCTGAGACCCACTGCATTTCCAAAGGCAGGGCAGGTGAGGGGGTTGCTTTCCCCCAATATGGTAGATTTCAATGCATTCCTATGGGGAACTGCACATTGACAATATTTTCTATGGATGATTTTTGCAAGACAGTGATTTTTCCCCCCATTGGAACGCATTAAATAGATTTCAATGCATTCCTAAGGGGAACTGCGTTTCGCAAGATGATGTTTTCACAAGACAGCGATTTCGGTGGAATGAATTAAAATTGTCTTGCAAGGCACCACTGTATCACATTCCAGTTCCACAACTTTGCTAGTATGCATGCCATCCTGCTGACTTTTTTCTTCTAGGACAAGACCACTGCCCCAAAAATGAATCTCAGATGGAGCCATTTTTTGCTTTACAGATGAAATGCAACAAAAATGCTTCAGATTATAAAGAACAATTTTCTGAGAGAAGAGTTGCATTTTCTGAAAGAATTGCAAGGGTGCCAATATTTTTGGCCATGACTATATGTGGAATGGCAGAAAATGCTGGTGTCTTTGACTTTTCTTTTCAACTCTTACTAGGGAAGACTGAACACAATATATCGTCTCTTTACAATGGCCTCCCTTTATTCTTGTTAATTTCGAAAGGGTCTTGCACAGTCTGCTTTCTGCTTTGCTTTTTTTGCATGGTAGGTTTGCTTTTCCTCCCTCCTTCCTTTGGCCGGAACAGATTAATCGCATTTCTGATGGGTCTTGCATGGTATGTTTGCTTTTCCTCCCTCCTTCCTTCGGCCGGAACAGATTAATCGCATTTCTGATGGGTCTTGCAGTGGGTTTTTTTGTGATTTTTTTCCTTTGGCTAGAACGGATTATTTGCATTTCAATGCATTTCCTATGGGAAATGGTGCTTCAACTTACGACCATTTCGAATTACGACTGGAGTTCCGGAACCAACTAAGTTCGTAAGTCGAGACACCGTTGTAGATTAAGCTTTTGATGACCAACCCACTTTAAAGAAGACAATACATTATTGTGATTTACAAACATGTTTAATGTATTTATGTATTTATAAGGCCTTTTAGGATGTATGCCTTCTACCAATATATCAGCTACAAAACAACACCTTAGTGCCATATACTGTACTCCTGTTCCATGCTCCTGGTTAGGATGCTGTTGCACCTGCTAGCAAGATACCAACATTATCACTAAGGTCCTTGCGCCAAGCAGAGCATCTGAAAGGGCAGAACACATTTCACAGTACAGTGGTGCCTCGCAAGACGAATGCCTCGCAGGATGAAAAACCTGCAAGATGATTCTATGGTGCCTCACAAGACGGTTGCTTCTATGGCCATGCTTCGCAAGACAGTTCCACCTCCCAGACCGATGCCTCACAAGACGAATAATTTTTTTCACAAGGCAGCAATTCTCGCAGAACAAATTACATTTGTCTTGCGGGGCACCATTGTACTGATTCACTTCTACACAACCTGTCTGAATGCCTAGGTTTTTCACAGCCCTACCCATGAGCACATCTAAATTTGGGCTGAAATAGCGTTCTGTAAGTTATGCCATGTAAGGCTGATAATGCCCTCAACTGTGGAAGCCTTTCGGAAATAAAACATTTCCAATTATTTCCCTCTTTGGAGGTCCTGACACTGCCGTGAAATCCCTTTCAAATCCATTTCATTGTTGGAAAGCCTTCGGGATAACAGTGGTGATAATTTTCAGTAATTAAAGACTTCCCTAGTCCTGTGGCTCCCAAAATGAAAGGGATTTCATAGGAGCATCTGCCTATGGGTGAGAAATCTGAATTTTTCTTATTTCCAAAAAAATCACAGCAGTTAATAACATAATTAGTCTTATGTGGCATAACTCGGAGAACAGGATTTCAGCCTTCAAATGGTGTCCACCCAAAATGCTTTAACTGAATTCGTCCCGATTACATTTTATGACCCAGCAAGACCATTATGTTCCATTTTCACCTTTCCATTTAGTTCTCCTTGAGAAAAGAAACAATGAAAATCTCAATGGATAGAATCCTACTGGTGGTCACATAAGGTATGTGTAACACACTATGGTTAGTTGTGGCTAATTATGGCTAACTGATGACGTGCCAGGACACATTTCCATTAGGCAATCAGGAATGTGACTGGGAAATACTGTTGTACCTTGTCAATTACAGTGGTGCCTCGCTTAACGATTTTAACTGGTGCCAAAAAAATTCATCACTATGAGAAAACATTGCTAAGCGAAACGCGTTTTCCCATAGAGATGCATTGAAAACCAGATAATCCGTTCCAATGGGAACGGATTGCCGTCCTTAAGTGAAAATCGCCATAGGAAACATCGCTAAGCAAAACGCGGTTCCCCCATTGGAATGCATTGAAACGTTTTCAATGCATTTCAACGGGGGAGAAAAAAAATCACCAAAAGTTCAAAAAGAGTCAGAACGAAGCCAAACTTGGTTAACAAAGGGTTTATTAAGTGCACTAACAATTTCAAGCACTCTAATCCCTTTTTAAACAATTTAACACCTTTTAAAAATAGCGAAAAAGGAGCTGTCAAAAACATTGCTAAGCGAAACAGGGGGGCCTAAACTGTCATTGTTAAGCGAAGCAAGGTCCCGAACATTGCTAAGCGAAATTCCCCCATTGGAAACATCACTAAATGGAGCGCAAGATCGCTCCTAAAACCTCATCGCTAAGCGAATGCATCATTAAACGAGGCAATCGCTAAGCGAGGCACCACTGTACTTGTAATTAGTTTGCTGCATTTGGCTTCAAAAATTAACTACTCCTCCATAACTCAGACAACTTTTGGGAGCAAAATGATATTTCTATCTGTTTAACCCTATCACCTAAGGATATTTCCTGCCTGCTATAATGGTGTACTACCCAAAATTTCCTCCTTGAACACACATTCCAGAATCAAATGTTCTACCAAAAGCAAGTCATACTAAAGGGGGACTATGCTACCGTGTTTCCCCGAAAATAAGACGGGGTCTTATATTAATTTTTGTTCCAAAATACGCATTAGGGCTTATTTTCAGGGGGCGTTTTATTTTACAGTCATGTCATCTTCTTCTGGTTGCTGCACAATGGTGGAGGGTGGGGTTTCACTTAACTGGGGTTTATTTTTGGGGTAGGGCTTATATTACAAGCATCCTGAAAAATCATACTAGGGCTCATTTTCAGGGTAGGTCTTATGTTCAGGGAAATGATATAATTTTTATAATTTAACTACCACTATACACTGTCCATTTGAGTAAAAGGCAGAAGTACAATCATCAAGCTTTTAGAAAGTAACAGGACTGAGGAGCAGAACTGTGATCAGTCAATAGTGTCAGTAACAAAAATCTTGCTAACAATTTTAAGATGAAGTCTCTATTACTGCGGGAAAAATAACATGGAAGCCAGTCATGAGCCATATGTATATGGTGGCTAGAACCATCATAATCCTTTTAACAACATGTATTCTCCATAAGCAAGAATATTTCGTTCTTATCTTAAGAAACAGATCCACACAGTAACTACCAGACGTGCCTTTGGAAACCTGACAAAGATGAATGTGAAAAAGACACATGCAAGGGAATTAGACATGGCATTGCATAATTAGCAACTATAGCCCTTCATGATGACATTCTTCACACACAAAGAACATACACATGAAGGACAATAAATGTGTGCTTTGGGCACTGCCCTCAACATTTTCCAGTATTACACTAAAGAAGACTCAATCTGAATGCCTGAGAATTGCAAATCTTACTATTTTATTAAAATATCTGTCTTTTTGTAAAACATTCAGAGCAGCTTATAATGACACAGTTAAACGCCATGTAATTAATAAAGAGTAGAAAAGCAGGCATTAATAACAGTAGACAACTGTGAATCATTCCACAATCTTTTTTGAAACGTCTTGTTTTATCAACATGCCAGAAGGCCAGCAATGGGATCTACAAGCAGATTTCTTTGAGGGAGTTCCACAACTTAGATGCTATTAAAATCAAAAGCTACTACTATTCAAATCAATGGCCACATTCTAGGCATCAGGAAGAGCTAGGCAGTTGAACTTTAATTGTTCAAAGAGAAAGTCCCAGAAGATTCACATTAAAAGTGACAGTTCTTACCAATGCAACCTTTAAAACCTCAAAAGCATCTTTGCCACCCCAAAGCAGGATGACTAACACTGTAGCCATGGGTTTGGAATGACTCTCACCAGACAACATTTGGGCTACTGTATTCTGAGTACTTTCCAAAAATGGTCACTGCACCTCACAATAATCTAGCTGGACAGAATCAGAATACGAATGAGTGTCACTGCATTTGCAATTACTCTGACTTTTCCTAAGCAGCCGTTTCCTCCTGCATGTGTCCATTTTCAGCAAGAAAACCTAAAATGTACATACTTTTAATTTATTTTCAATATACGTGTTCTGGTGAGAGAGGACACAGAATGACTCAGCAGCTGATGTCCTTCCTCATTGGGTGGTGCTGTAATCCACTACAAACTATTACTTATTTTGGCAAGCTTGCTCCCTTTTAACAGGAAGGCTAGCACTGTAAAATTTCAAATGGAGATTTTATTAGGATGGCATATGTGATTTTTTCTCCCCCAAGATGACTCACTAGTCAGAGGATAATGCCACTTCCTCAGCACCTCAAAAAAAAACCTCATTTCAAATAGTTGTTTGAGAAGCCAATGCAAGTTGTTTTTGGAGACTTCCCATTCATAACTTCCCTCATCCCAAAACTCTCCAGATCCTACACCTCAAAGGATAACTAGCCATTTGTCACCCTGCCTGAGGCTGACAGCAGTTACAGTTCACAGGATCTGAAAGGCAGGGAGCAGACGATAAGAGAGGACTATGACTGAATAAGGCAATGCAAAGGTCCTCCTCCAGATGTTTTGAAATACACATCCCCCATCCTTTTGGACTGTTTTCCATGCTGGCTGGGGCTGATGAGCGTTGTAGTCCAAAACACCAACTGAGAATACCAAGTAGAGTCTAATAAGTATTTCAGTTATTTCACTTCTTTAAGAAACGACAATAACGACGAAGTCTGGAACCAAAGAAGCGGTAATTAAGGCTTTCCCACCTGAGGGGGCGGTTAAAAAAAAAGAGAAAGAGGGAAGAAATCGGGGAGGAGGGGTGGACGGCGAGAGTTGCCTCCAACACAGGACGGGTGGAAAGGGCGGCAATGTGGAGCTGAGGGAGGGGGAGAGAAACCGAAGCAAGGACGAGCGGGAACCGCTTCCGGGTTCATACCTCGAGGAGTCGCCTGCCGAAGAAACCGGGCCGAGGGCAAGAGAAACCCGGAGCGGGAAAGGGCGGCTTCCACTTGAAACCCGTCCCAAAAGGCTGCCGTTACTCGCGCGGTAAAAGTTGCCTTTGACAGGATCGAAAAACCGCTCTCGCCGCGCCGGAAACGGCAAGGCGGAAGTTCGGAGTTGCCGCGCAAAGAGGACTTCCGGTTCCCTACGTACAAAAGCCGTCAGGAGGCGGGCGGGACGGAAGCCCGTTGTGCGAGCGCGGCTGTGGGGTTTGGGAGGGAAACGAGGGAGGCGGGGTTTGGGGGCTTGGCCAATGAATAGTTAGCAAGCCAAAGAGAGTATTCGCTTGGTTGGGCTGTTTTACACACTTTCCCTAAGCACCACTTGGTTTTGTTTTATTTTTTTTTATTTTTTTACAATTTAGTTCGTTTATTTATATAAAATAATTAAAGCCTATTGTTAGAAACAAGATCCGGAGCTGATTGTGGCTCTCCTCACCAGCGTCTTACAGCGCATTCAAGCTTAAACTGAAGAAAGTAGGAAAAACTACTGGGCTAGCCAAGTATAATCCAAAAAACCAAATCCTTTATGAATACACAGTGGAAGTGAAGAACAGATTTAAGGAACTTGTGGCTGAAAAACTATGGATAGAGGCTGGTAACATTGTACGGAAGGCAGCAACAAAAACAAAATAAAATGCAGGAAAGCAAAGTGGCCTTACAAATAGAAGAGAAGGGACACAAAATACAAGGGAGATAGGGAAAGTTACAGAAAATTGAATGCAGACTTACAAAGAATAGCAAGGGGAGACAAGAGTGCCTTCTTAAATGAACAATGCAAAGAAATAGAGGAAAATAACAGAAAAGGAAAAAACATCTGTTCAGGAAAATTGGAGATATTAAAGGAACCTTTGTGCAAAGATGGACATAAAGGACAAAAATGGGAGGGACCTAACAGAAGCAGAAGACATCAAGAAGAGGTGGCAAGAAGGAATTATACCAGAAAGATCAGGATGTCCCGGACAACCCAGACAATGTAGTTGCTGACCTTGAGCCAGACATCCTGGAGAGTGAAGTCAAGTGGGCCTTAGCATGGCTAACAACAAGGCTAGTAGAGGTGATGGCATTCCAGTGGAACTATTTAAAATCTTAAAAGATGGTGTTGTTAAGGTGCTACAATATGCCAACAAAGGACATGGTGTCATTGTGGGTTGAACCGCAGAAGCCTCTGTGCTGCAAGGTCAGATGACCAGCAGTCGCAAGATCATCCACACGACGGAGTGAGCTCCCATCGCTTGTCCCAGCTCCTGCAAACCTAGCGGTTCGAAAGCATGTAAAAGTGTGAGTAGATAAATAGGTACCACCTCAGTGGGAAGGAAATGGCATTCGGTGTCTAGTCACACTGGCCACGTGACCACGGAAACTGTCTTTGGACAAACGCTGGCTCTATGGCTTGGAAACAGAGATGAGCAGTGCGCCCTAGAGTCAGACACGACTGGATTAAATGTCAAGGTGGGCCTTTACCTTGGAAAACTCAGCAGTGGCCAGATGATTGGAAAAGATCAGTCTACAGCCCAATCCCAAAGAAGGGCAGTGCCAAAGAATGCGCCATCTACCATACAATTGCATTCATCTCACGCATTAGTAAGGTTATGCTCAAAATCCTACAAGATAGGCTTCAGCAGTATGTGGATCAAGTACTCCCCGAAGTACAAGCTGGATTTCAAAGGGATAGAGGAACTACAGACCAAATATTAACAGGCATTGGATTATGGAGAAAGCTAGGGGATTCCAGAAAAACATCTACTTCTGCTTCATTGTTGACTACGCAAAAGCCTTTGACTGTGTGGACCACAGCAAACTCTGGCAAGCCTTTAAAGAAATGGGAGTGCCTGACCACCTTATCTATCTCCTGAGAGACTTATACGTGGGACAGGAAGCAACAGTTAGAACTGGATATAGAACAACTGATTGGTTCAAAATTGGGAAAGGAGTACAAAGGGGCTGTATATTGTCCCCCGCCTTACTTAACTTATATGCAGAATACATCATGCGAATGGCCGGACTAGAGGAATCCCAAACTGGAATTAAGATTGTCAGAAGAAATATCAACAGCCTCCAATATGCAGATGATACCACTCTGATGGCAGAAAGTGAGGAGGCATTAATGAAGCTCTTAATGAGGGTGAAAGGGGAGAGCACAAAAAATGGTCTGTAGCTCAACAGCAAAAAAACTAAAATCATGGTCACTGGTCCCATCACCTCCTGGCACATAGAAGGGGAAGATATGGAGGCAGTGACAGATTTTAC